TGATCAGCATTAGCATCCTAACTGGTCTGCAGCAGTTTGATCAATGTTAGATCGCCTCCTGGTAAAATATAAACTGTATTGTAAGTGTTGATAAATCTAAAAAAGACTTCCATAAATAAATATTCCAAAAAAAGTAACACATTCTGTAGTTTTCTTCTGCAACCGACTGGTGAATACATGCAGAATTAATCCACTGTTCATAAGATCTGCAGTGAATGGCAAGCTTGCCTATTTTTCCTCCTTCATCTACTATTAGAACAAAGTATAATTGTTTTTTTTTACCTTATTAATACCACCAACCAGTTAGTGGAGCAGTGAAGAGATATTCAGTGTTCTTCCCTTCGCTCATCAGTGGTAGTAGTACTTAAAATCCTAGAAAATAGGGAGAGTGTTCTGTCTTTCCTTTTGCTGCACTCTGCAGAGATTCAAGACATTAGATAGAAGCCAATGCTGTTTGCTCAGGAAAGCACTACCTACCAGGTCAGCAGCGAGAGATATTTCAAATATTGCAACGAAGGAAGTAGATTGAGCAAACAAATAAGATTAGACAGCGCAGAGCATCTGCAGGGCACACACACACAGGCAGCTGCCTCAGAGCATTGCTTACCTGCCCTAATGGGAACATGCTTTTCCCCTACTCCAATTCCCTTTCCTTCTTCTACTGCCCCTCACTTAATCCTTCTTCGTCCTCCCAAGGCTTTTTTAACCTTCCAGAGCAGCTCCTGCATGGAGCTAAATAATTAGTTCTCAAAGAGAGTTGGTTGAATAAATGAACTTTTAACTCTAACATAGTTTTCCTTAATTCATCAGTTATATTGAAGGCCAAACACATCATAATAGCCTCTCAAAAATGTGAGTAATCTCATCGGCTCTGTGACATTAAAGTCTGCTGTGGATTAGATGTACCAGACACTATTAGGAACTGTCTGTCCTTTGCAATGCTGTGATCAGTAGGGATTTTCAAGGACCTTAAAAATAAAAACAAAGGGTGCTTGTATTATGGCTGCAAAGGTCACACAAGAATACATAAAGTTCTGGCCTTTACAAGTCAATGGTTCACAGCAATGCAGCTCAGGTCACTTACCAATCTCCCTACAACTCACAAGAGAATTCATAGAAGTGAAATGAATAAAATATGTTTAGCAATGACACCGTAAACACATAGAGCTGAGTTTTTGTTGTTTTTTTGTGCAAGTCTCTGGGCATTGAGGCTGTAACCCCCCTTGTGGCGATTTAAGAACATTACAACCTCAACAAAAGCAGTATTGATGAGAAACCATGTCCTCTTCTGACTCATCTGTTTGCACTTACCCTAATGTAAATAGTACATTACAGCAAATTGCTTCATGCATTTCAGATGCAAGCAGTTTGAAATGCTCCTCAATTGTTGTGGGATAGCTTATGCTTTGTTTATTGTATTTTGCAACAACTTTGTACATAATTATTGAAGTAAGTATGTCCAATTTTTGGTGTTGTTGTCCCAAAGACTAGAGCTTTAGCTTTAACATTTGGTAGCCACGGTGATATAAGTTTCTCTGCTAGCGAGTTTTTTGCTGCTGTGAAACTCTACAGCGATAGTGTTGGGCCAGTTAAGAGAAATACATAGTAGGTATCATTATAGTTTTTTCTGTTGAACGTTGGTTCTGAATTGGCAGATCACAATGCAGTAAAATCCATCACTGCATTTTGCTTTTTTTTATTATTCTAACAGCCACTATAACATCGATGCTCCCTTAAAATCTGTTTTATATTCCCCGAAATAAACATTTTTTGAAATTGGAGTATTGTGTATTTGCCGGTCACATTTAGCTATTCATTTTATAGCAACATTAATATAATAACTATGTTACCTTCAGTTGTTATGAAATGTTGCATATATATCAAAAACAGCTTAAACAAAGTTTGACTTAGCATCATAGCCTTATCAGACACTTTTAAATTGGCCTCTGTCTCTTTAAGAACCTCCTATCCTGCCCAATACTTCCCCTTTAGCGAGTCATCACAACTCTGCTTCTCCATTGATATTAGGCTCCCAGTCCCGAATGGCGGCAACGGAAGAATATTCCTCAACCAGCGGCATAAGAGTATTGAAACCAATGCAGATAGATGTGAAGAAACATACAATAGTCAAAAAGATTTATGCTGGGAGATTGCAAATCACATCACAATTCATAAAGTCAAGAAAAGACTTCTGAATCAGTCCATTTTCCTAAATATTTGACGTTGTATTTAAGACTTAGACTAAAAAGAATCCAAAAGAAAATCTACAATAAAAAAGTTTTGCCGTAAATTCTTATTTTTGTAATTTATAAACGATTTTCCACAATCATTTCACGTTTAAAATAACACTTAAAATACATAAACATGCCAAATGTGATATCCATGTCAGTGCTGAGTGTGTGTAAGCTTTTCACTGGAATTTGGGTTTGAACAGGAGTTATCCCTAAAACTAGAGTCCATACAGGGTTGTGCTGAAGTAGGAGTAAAAGAATGGTAATACAAGAACTAAGTAGCTTTTTGTTTGATAAAACCTCAACTGGAAAAACCTTGATGTTTATTTGCAGCCAATTTCCAAATGGTGATAAATAAAACATTTGATGCATGAAAGAAAAAACAATTCACTCAAACATGAAGGAAATCAGAAAGAAACATTGCTATTTTAAATTCTTCTTAAGTAAAACTTAATGTAACAAAAGTGCTTTGTTTTTTCCACCTGTTATTTTAAAGCAAACCCAGATCAAATATGCTCAACGTTTAGAAGAGATTTCTAATTAGAATGATCATGAATTATGTAAAAACACACATTGTGAAAACAGAATTTTAATTTACTAAGCCAAATAGATCCTGCTATTTGCTACCTTTACAGGGAAAATGAATGCAACTATCTATAACAGTTATGTCTTGCCATAATGAAACTGCAGGAACACTTTCACAAGTAATACAATTATTTTTTTTTAGCTATGAAATAATTTAAATTTGCTAAGCTAAAATGGCTTGGCTCAAGTTAAGGATGGAAAATCATTTTGATTCTGCCTCGGCGTCAGACTGCAAATCTGTTTTTCCAATCAAAGTGCAGATAAAAGGTGAAGAACAGATTTAGCTGAAAGAGTGGAGCATGTCATAAAGCCATGCACAGACACAAGGGGAGTTTATGACTCTTTATTTTCATTCAAGTTTATTACAAAACAATGTCATACAGCTTTGATAGACTTGCGGGGAAAGGAGTGTTCTATGCTTCATGTATCACATTTTTATCAAGCAGCAGTGTCACTTTGATCCAGAAAAAAAAAAAAAAAGCAAAGCACACATCAAGGTAAACTGACTGTTTCTATAGCCCATAACCATCTGGTATGTGTCACATCCCAGACAGTGCACAAGCAGTAAAGCAGTTTTGTTTACATCAAAAGCTGAGAAAATCTGTCCCAGGGAAAAATAAGATAAGAAAACAGAAGTGATTGTCATGAGGTTATTCTTGGGGGCTCTGAGATTGTGCATGCAAAGGCTGGGTTTTGATGCACAGCGTAGGCACCAAGGCATATATTGTACAACTATTATCTTCTTCAGAATACTGTAGTGTTGAATGTTTAAGATTGCTTTTGTTTTAAGTAAGAGCTAAACCTAATTTGGTCTTAGTTATGGACGGAATCTTATTGTCACACATCGACTTTAGCAATATCATCCATTTTCCACGGTTCTTAAAATATTGCAATTAATTCAGCAGCTGTGTTTAACTAACCCATTAATTTATATTTTCATGTGTTACAGTTTCAAAGTAATCGTGACTTTGTGTTGCTTGTTGCTTAGAGCCGGCAGAGGAAAACCGAAGGCCACCTCTTGATTGTTGTTGCTATATTTAATGTGTGGGATGCACTGATGACTGGCTGTTTAGTTTACACACGGACCATTAAGGCAAAAACATCCTGCAGACATGCACTGATGTGATATGAGCAGTCAGTCAATATAAACTGATCGGCCTCGGCGTTAAAACTACCAACAGGGAAAATGACAAGTATTGACAATGTCATTGAAATGTTCCGCTCTGCCGGGAAACCTCGTGTCTTCAGGCATGCTTCAGGCTCTCCAGCAGGCTACTGTGGCTTTTATTTGTCTGCAAACATGCTTTAAAATGATCAAGCCTCAATTGCTCGTAGCAGGCATCTGATTCATTCAGGGGGAAAAATATCAAGAGGGCAGCAGAAAACCTGCATGAATAGTAGAGGCAGAACAAAAGCGAGCTCAACCTGCATGGGAGTCGTGTTCATCCAAACAGCTGTGCTGTTAGATGCATTTAAATAGCTGCAGACGTCCAAGAGGTGACGTGATTGGTCATTGGTTTAACCACATTCTGTGTGTCCAGTTGTGTAATTCTACATGTAACTTATTAAAAATAAAACTATCACTATGTTATAATATGCAACAGATAATCTGTGGAAAAAAAAATCGAGCTCCTTTGCCTTCTCCCTATGACTCTGCTGCCATCTATACAGAAATACAGAAAAAACCCATCAGAGCCAGAGGGAGGTTCTTAGTGCTGTCAATCGTCACACTTTCAATATTTTTTTTACTGTCATGATGTACAGCTGAGCACCAGAAAGTAGTGCATATAAGGAAATATTTTAGTGGTTGTTGTTTGTTTCACATGCTATGTAAATATACACATCAAAATGTGAGTGTAGTCCAACTACTAATATTCCTTCATGTCACATTTTCCTGTGAGGAATGCAAACTTTTGCTCAAAGCCACATCTATAATCTCTGAATCTTCTGCTTTGTTGTCGCTTTAACTTTATCGAACCTGTCATGGTTTTGATTCCAATCTCCATCACAATTTGAAATCAAGTCCAATCCCATCACCGGGCTCAGCAGGGTTTAGAAGATCAATCGAGAAGCTGCTTTTGTTCTGCAATTACTAAAGGATTAAAGATTATCCGGGGACTATCTTCCTGTTTGCCAACAATTCACTGAATTCAACATTGAAATACTGTCTCACCTGTCTTGCAGGGCCACTCCCTGGCCTCCATCACTCACAGCTAATGGATGTCTTTGGCCAGTATGCCTACAATGACAGTTTCAACGATAACGGAACGTGGCACTTCAACGAAACAGAGCAAGAACAGAGGCATCTTTACAACTACTATGCCATGCTCCTCACGCTGCTCATCTTTGTCATTGTCTTTGGCAACGTTCTGGTGTGCATGGCTGTGTCGAGGGAAAAGGCTCTGCAGACCACTACCAACTACCTGATCGTCAGCCTGGCTGTTGCTGATCTTCTGGTGGCCACCCTGGTTATGCCCTGGGTTGTCTATCTGGAGGTAGGATGATAGAAATGCACAAACACACACACAGCCACAAAAAGAAAAAAGAAAAAATTTCACCCATATTTCTTTGTAATGAGATATAAAACTTGACATTTCTTAGCCCAGAGACATGCTCTCTCTCTCTTCTCTGTTCATTTTATACTTTCTCTCTGTGTATTACATCTGTAAAATAAATAAATAAAAACAAACAAACACAAGATTAAAAAGAGTAATGGTTAGAAAACTAAGGCATCTGCAGCAGAGCAATATCCCTGCAACAACTGTGTTTATTTCCAGTATTATAAGTGACTGGAACGTTTGGACAGCACTGAAATGACGAAGATCCAAACACAACACTTAATTTAAAAGACAAAATTCACAACTGGAGGGTAAAACATGTCAGGGCAGATAATGCTTTTAGATTAAACGTAGTTCTGGTGAAACACTGGCGGAAAAAGGCTTCGATAAAGCTCGCTGCGGCTGTATCGTCGGGTCGCAGGGACAAGGTAAAACAAGAGTGAAGGTTAACGTGTTCACATCAGTCTTGTAAACAGGAGCCATGCAGTGGTCAGAGGCCTGTGATTTAGCAGATATGTGACAACAGCAAAATGTCAGACCAACCATTTTTATTAGAGGTCATTGGTTTATGAATAAATCTTCCTGGGTGCCTTTAATCCAGTGTAGCTCAATTGAGATCTTTTTTTTTTTTAAGATTCCTAAAAGCCCACAAAAAAATGTTTGCTCTAGCGTAAAATTGTCTAATCAGTAAATCCAAACGCAGTTGTGTGAAAATGTGAAGCTTAAATTCTTATAATAGAATAATACAAATTTCTATGTTTCAAAAATGTTGGAGCCCCTCCAAATTAACATGAAAAACCCAGTCAAGTTTCTAGAAAGTGAGGAAAATAATTATTCGAGAAAATATGCTTGCATTTTTCCTGGTACTGTATAAATAAAAATAAAATAATAAATAACTTACCCCATATTTAGACAATTCTGTGTCATCTTTGCAATCCGTCAAAACGTTGACATTATATTCCACACTCCTCTGGTTTTGATTTCCATTTTTATTAATTGAGATCTGTCTTTGCTCACCAGCCTACAGTGACATTGGAAAACAACAATTTTTAACTTGAGTATACTCGTAGCCCATTAGACCATGTGTAACCAGGCAGTTTTTTAGTGCATTTGTTTCTTTTTCGGTTGCTTGTTTTTTTTTTTTTTTTGTTTTTTTTTACTATATTAGTTTATTCATCTCTGTTCTTTATTGCGGTAAGATTTCACCTAATTAGTTAATTCCTTGTCTTTTAAAATTTTGTTCTGTTTATGCATTTAGTTTATATGTCTTGTGTTAGTGTTAGACATGTTTCCCTTTGTGTCTATTTTAGCTCCCTCCATCTTACCTGTGTTTATTATTGTTAGTCTCTCTCTCTCTCTCTCTCTCTCTCTCTCTCTCTCTCTCTCTCTTTCTATTTCCCTGCCAAATACTCTCCCACAGCTGTTCGACTTCCCCTGATTAGACTCACTTGGTTCCCATTTTCCAGATGGTTTCTTCAACATACATGTGACCTGGTTCTGTCCTCCTCGTCCCTGAATATTTCGTCTGCACTCTGCTCCAGCTGCAACCTTTGAACTTATAACAGACATAGGGATTAGGGGAATCAGACGAGATGAGATTTTTTAATTAATTTATTTATTTTGACGAAATACATTATGAGCCTGATTAAATAAAACAACTTGACAAAAAATTGGCAAACTTATTATTTTAGTTTTTTTTTATTTTAGTTTTTTAGTTTTTTTATTATTTTAGTTTTTCCCAAGCTCCTGTAGTAGGAGCAGTGACCTTTCCAGCAGATATGATTTACTTAAACCGCACAGTTTTGTAAACCACCATAGAAAAGACACAGAACTGATGTCCAAGATAAAACAGAGGTCTCCAGGAAATTAAGCTCTGGGGGGGCGGGAAATGTTTTGAGTCGCATAGTTAGGATTTTACCGCGGCATAGACAACATTAGGAACACACCTATCAGACTCTATTTTTTTTTTTGTTCTCCATGATCCATTAGAACAGCTCTTAACTACCTTTTAGTAATTGCTGTGAGCCGTAATACAGGGCAGAGTGTTCACACTGTGTTTTTATCAAAGTTATTTACGTCTCTCTCTGTTGTTGTGGGCAGCTAGCTTCTCACAGAGGGGGGCACATCAAAGCATGCCATAAAAGTTGGAGCTGATTTGCTGCCAGACGCATTTCAAAGCACCAAATTACACCATAACACTTTCTCAATAGAAAATTGTACTTGATGGCATACCAAAGACTCAAAGGAGAGTCTTTGAAGGTGTAAAGTGGTTTAATTGCACATAGGTGTTTGTTTAAGGATGGCACTTTGTGTGTGCTGAAAGCAATCACTTTGAAATATTTATCAAATACAAGGAACAGCAAACTTTTGGCTATAGGTTTGACAAGCGTAATTCCTACATAGACGGCATCAAATTACAGGAATGCTCGATATATCCTCAAGGTTTCTGTCCTTTTTGTGCCAATTTTGTTTCTCTGCTGGCAGGATCATAAAAACTTTGTTATGCCAGTTTAATAAAACTTGAAGAGCTGGACTATGTGTAGGGGGAGATAAGGGAGTGCTCATTAAAAATTAAATATCTGCAGCCCAAAACAGTTCTCATAGTGGGTCAGAGTTGTCCTTTTGACTTCACTTTAAGCATATTGCCTGTCTTTACAGCTTCTCAATTCACAACTATCCAGTCCGTAGTTGTTCCCTTGGTCACTACATGAAGGGCACGGCTAAATGTTTTTCCGTCTATTTTCAGGATGCAGCCAATTAACCAGACAAGATGGATAGCAGTGCTACCACCCAAAACAAACACATAAGAGCAAAAGTTTGAAAAATTTTCAAGAGTAATTCAAGTTGCAGCTAACAAGATATGATAAAATGCGAACATAATACTTAATTTTTTAAGTATTAAAAAATGCTCTGCCTTTTTAGCACGATATAACGATGTATACCGTTACAGCCAGAGAGGGTAAAGGCTGTCAGGTTGACTGGCGGAGGCTCAGTGTCTAAAAAAGGAGACTTGGCAAGAAACGTAAGTGAAAGTAAATTTGTTAAAGAACTGCAGGTCACATTTGCACCAACACCATTACACTTTTGTTTTTTTTTTGGTTCTGCATTTGATATGATCAAACAGAGACATTTTATTTTTGAGAATGCAGCTTCCTTACCCAGCTCCTCTCTGCTGTACCAGAATGAAGACTTACAGTCAACAGTGGAAACTAGGGATGAGACATTTTGCGCTTTTCAAAGATTTTGCTTTGGCTCCGTTAGAAAAGTTAAGAGTTTTGAAATGGTTCTTTATTCTGTATCATTCCCACTGGCTTGTAAGTGCTATGACGGTTTTTTTTTGTGCTAGTTGATTTTTTTATTGCATCTTTTGTTTAAAAAAAACAACCTTGAAATACTTTATACTATTGAACATTTTAATTAAACTATTCATCAGAAAACTGAAGAGAGAAACATGATCTACTTTGTTGCTGATCCTACCCTGATGCATAGTTTAATAATTTAATAATCTGCTCTCAGTTTTACTGCCTTCAGTGTCAGTGAAATCCATCCTAATGCTACCACTTTTTCAGGAGTTTTTCTCAGCTTTCAGATGCTACCGTCTGAATCCATCTCTCTATTGTTCTATTGCTCTTTGCTCCTGGCCTCCAACACCACGCTCTTCCACGTCCCATTTCTTTTTTTCACGTCACGGTTTGCCTATCGATGGGGTGGCATACTTAATTTGAAGGTGAGACAGAGACAAGCACTCTCCACACAAAGCCAACAACACACAGCCCGACCAGCCTCAAGTATTTATTCAACTACAGTTCAACGAGAGTGTTTACCTCCCTGGATATCTCTTTGCCTTTTTTGTCACATTTAAATGTTTCAAATTACTTATGACTTCTTAACCCACCTTAGGCTGACAGATTTTACTAGTTTATTTTCATTTGTTCTTGTGGTAATTTTGATTAAAGAATAATGTTTTACTTTTTAAATCTTTTTAACGTACTTTGTTTAACAAGACTGATTCTGTTTTCTTGAACCTAACAGAATGACAAGATCAAAAAATGTATTTAATTACAGCTAGCCTTTTTTTTTTATTACATATGGTCAGGTTGTTTTGGATAACTCTTTTTCTTTAACAAATACAATTACATTTTCAGAACAGTTTACATTAACTTTTGTTTTCGTTAGTATGTTTTGGATAGAATATAATTTTATGTGAATGTATGGAAGATAGAAAAGAAAGACAAAATGGAAAAGGGAAACTGTGTATAGAGCTCTACATGTGTCATATAGAGGTAAACAGTTCATCTGCAAAAAACAAAAACAACAACAAAGACAGACACTGTGTTGGTAGATGGTCAAGATCTACCAACACCACACCTTCCTCCAGTAAATGTTTTTGATTTCTTCAGTCTCTTATTGTTGGAGCTTAATGTTTTTGACATTAAGCTCAAATTTCTTAGAGTATCTTGGTAACTCCTGGATCATAGACCAGATTTCTTTTATCATTCGCCTGCATTTTTTTTCATCCTGGTGTCCATGTCTGTGACCAAGGCTCTCGTGTTAATAATGTTTTAGCATAACTTAGTCACAGAAGGTGGGCAGAGCATTCAACTTGCCCTTTATTATTAAATGCTAGATTTGCATTAATTACCACAGTTTTTGCTTTTTTTTTTCCATGTGTGACGGATTTTTGGAGCCCATGGAAGGAAAATTATGCGTGATCTGAATTAGTGGAAAGACACTTAGAATAAATGTCAATTATCATCTGCTACAGCACACAGTGGTGCAGCTTTTTATGTAAGTTCCTGGAGAAAGTAAAAACTAATTTACATTCACATTTCTATTTGGATTCATTATATCTTATTATCAGAGGGAAATGATCATTTTGGTTGCTCCTCTTGTCTTGGATAAACTTACTTTCGTATCAGTGTTGACTTTTTTGAGATGTATTATTTTTGAGTTCAGAGCAGCTTTATGATTGCAATTTAGAAAACATCATTACATTGTTTGAACTCGGAGTGATATTAATTCACACTCTATGAATTAATATAGCATGATCAGCTGTAACTTGCCGCGTGTCCAATTGGCAAGGATCTACGGAAAATGGTGAATTTATATGTTTACACTTTTAAATCAAATGGGATAATGAATGACAAATGATTCTTAGAATAACTTGCCCTATATCTTATATGAACGTTCTTTGCCCTATATGTAAAAATTAAACTTGTACTAGCGATGACAGCATTGTAACAAAACACTCTAAACATATTTTTTATTGCTGTAATATTCATGAACATAGCAGCAGGATGTGTTTATATCCAGAGCCATCAATCTGCTCTATCAATCACCTCCCAATTGCAAATTGAAATTCTAATTGCATATCAATCCTGGATACTGACAGCAATAGCTATAGCCCTGAAGTGACCATGTCATGAATCACCTTAGAAACCAGCAGCAAACTTCCCTTTTTCACGTCTGAGAAAATGACCAGAGACAGCAAAACAACCAGTTCTTACTTTAGTTTTGTTTGTTTTTTGTTTCGTTCTCTCTTGCCACATTCTTTGTCCTGAATGTCGCAAATGGTATTTTGGTATTGTGTCTGAATTCACATTGTTCGTTGTTAATGTGAAAGCAGGAGATTGCACTTTTCTGTCCTCTCTCACAAGTGTTTGTGCAAAGGTTGTAATCCCAGATGTGCTTTGTAGTGTGAGGGAAACAGAAGAGCTGGATTTGGCCCGCTGCCTAATCTTTCCTCTCAGGCCTTATGTTGTAAAACAAGAAAGTTCTTACGTTTCCCCATAGATCAAAAGTTATGCCTTATAAAGCATATTGTATTACAAGAGACACATCTGACTGCAAGCAGGATTTTATTTTATTTTTTTAAACATGGAAGTTTATGATCCTTAAATCCAAGAAAAGCCTGCAGCCTTGTTAGTTTTGTGTGGCGAAATGCAATATGAAGTCGACAGGCAGAGTTTAGGGTGGACAACAAACGGTGTGGATGTGCGGTGGACTGTAACATCTAAGGCTTAACTCAAACCCAAAACAGTTTTTCTGGCTTTAGAGCCTCGCAAGCAATTTTTATACAAGTGAGAAACCACCATCTTTACCCACCAGCTTCTAAAGTAAAGAAAAACTCTCCACATATATATAATTTCCTTCCTTCATGCATATTTGAATAACGTTTTGAAATTAGTGTTCAAAGACAGAGAACTACAGTGACGGTTTGCTTAAAAGCAGCCTGCCGTACATCACAAGTATGGACGACTTTGAATAGATTTCCTTTTAAAGTCTCATTAACATGTCTCTTTCTGCCAGCTGGCTAGCTGAACAAGCAGTTGGGCAAACATTTGCAAAGAAAAAGTGCACTGCTAATGTCAGTCTGAATTCACAAAACCTAATCAGTAAACTTACTGAAGAGGGTGAAATCTTTTATTCTACCAATGATATCGAAGCAACTAGCTTCGATATCATAGTAATGCACAAACATTACTAATCATCAAGGTGACTAAGTCAAAAATTTTGACTTTCTCTTTTTGTTTTGTTTTTTTTCCTTTTATGATCAGAGAGTAAATCCAAAAAACTGAGAAATAAATAACTTTCAGGATTGTGCAGTAAATGTATTTAAAATTTAAAAGATTATTTTTTGCCAACTTAGACTTCTAATTTTGGTCAAATTCATTTACAGCACTCTCCACATTTATTGATAAGGATGTGTGCGTATTTTGAAGAATGGTTAACAAAATTAGGCTTCCAATCAAAAGAAATTGGAAAACAATCCTGACACAAAGGATCACAATTCATGAATGAAAGGGTTAATAAACTTTAACCATTATGAGAGAGTTACTTCTTTCATCCAGCTCCAACGTGGACAGACATTATTTATAAATGACATTTCTTTTAAGTTCTAGACCTCACTTTATGACTTTTCTCTCAGACATAACATTGTTGGCCAGATCATTATTTAAATGTCATTTTCTCAATGGGTTTGCATAAGGATTTCCCTTTCATTTTGCTTTAGATTGTTCAATTTTATTTATCAAAGTGATACACTTCGTAGAGATTAAACATCAATTGTGTCAGCTTTACTGGAGCTGGCATGTCTAAAAACACAGTTGACATTTAATTTACTGACAAATATCTATGATGAAATTTTTTGCCTTGCCAACCTCCCTGTTATGTAGCAGGCAGAGCCTTTTTACCACTGCAGTGATGGTATTTTACCATCATCCATAACCAGATATGCTAATCTTGTTTTTTTATTTACTTGCATGTTCAAAATCAGCGAATCCAGAAGACCTTGACAACTTCCCAACCATCTTTACACAAGAGTTTTGATATACCAATGCACTTTTAAAATTAAATAAAAACTGATAAACTTAGATCAATTTCTACTTATCAAAAAATATGTTTCCCTGGAAAAGCAACATCATCGTCTGCCATTTTAGCTACTTTTTTTTTAGCAATTACGTTGTAAAATGCCACTTAATTTTAAAATATACCTTTCTAAACCACCCTGAATGCTCTTCTGAACTTCTTCGACTTTAAATATCCATATTGTTTTGTGCTCCAGGACTACTGAGAATTCAAGATTAAACAGCTGCGTTGTAGGGGTTTTGAGAGAAGTGTGTCCTGATATATATCTGCTTGCTGCTGTTCCAGAGTAGGAAACCAGGTGACGACAGAAAAGTGCACACTCTCAATCAATGCAGAGGGCATTATAATTGTTTTGAGATGCAGAGGAGGCAAATGTCAAGTGCAGACGGCTTGTCTGATGTTAGAGCATAAAAGAGCCTTTGAGAAGTGAGGCAGTCAAGGCTTCGTTGGACGGTTCTCCGTAGTGTAATCCCACCCGCATCAACGTGCAGCTTTTATTTAAAAGCTGATCTGAAAACAGATCATTGAGACAAAGATTAATTTTCAGCAGAGAGGCAGGAGGTGCCCCGTGACGCTTGCATCCCCCTTACCCTTTACGCAGCTGTGGGAGGAAGCAGGTAGGATCTTGTGCCAGCTGGGGTGGGCGTAATCCGAGCTGTCAGCGCATCACCGGTGATGTGGGTTTCATCATTTGACCAAACCATGGCGACCAACTCTGGTATAGATATAAATAGGTTGCAATGTTGTTCATGAGAGAAGGCTGTACAAACTGTAATGTATGTTGTAGGATTTTTATCTCACGGACATTTAAGCCATGCAAGAGTTTGTTACAAGGGAGTTCTTTAACCCCCCCAAAAAAATAAAATAAAATTGATTCAAAATTAGATGATTTTGATAGAGTGACTTTGAAATACTCTAAGACTCTAGAATTGTCCACACCAAAATGATCTCAAGGGGCCAAAGGCTTTACTTTAGTCAACCCTGCTTTATAATTCTCCTCTTTTTGTGACTTCTTTGCTTTTTCAAGAAACTATGCTTGGGTTGTACTTCAGCAGAAATAAAAATACAAAGTGTTAACTGTTCACCAATAGTTGATTTTGGTCCTTTTCCACTTACCAGGGAGGAAATAATACACCAAAAATATGTACAAATGTTTAACAATTGCTTTTCTGAAAATAAAGAGGGTGTAATATTTGCGTTAGATTTGTGCGGATGTATTTTGCTGACATTCAGTAAACTGCGAATGCTTCATGTCTTTTTTTCCACTAGGTAGTGGGAGAGTGGCGCTTCAGCAAGATCCACTGTGACATATTTGTCACCCTTGATGTGATGATGTGTACAGCAAGCATCCTCAATCTATGTGCCATCAGCATCGATCGGTAAGTTTGACGTTGTAGATGTGCCAAGTGTGGTCACTCATAATTGCAGGTTGGAAATCAATGGAAATATTTAGCTGCTTTCTGCATAATAAAAAAATAAATCCCTACCTCTCGGCGCATGACTCGCCAGGCCGTTGTGTCTATTTACAGAGTAAATGGCCTTTTCAGACATGAATTTCACTCTGCACACAATCTGAAAATGAAACATTTGTTTTTAATGAGGGACCACCAGATGTCCCACAGATATAACATGAATAGACCTTTTTTTTAAAAAAGAAAAAAGAAAAAAAGTTTTTTCAACTATGAAGACAGCATAAGCCAGTGAAAATGTCAGGTATCACAGAGTATCTACCAGTAAATTTAAAAACATTTTTTACAAAAACGATCTTATATTGTAGACAAAATCATGTGAAGGAGTTCAAACTTCGGGAAAGAGAAAAAATATTAATACACGATTTTTAGTTCAGCTGTGTTTTCAGTTTGAAACTTTATTGTCAGCCAATCACAACAATCAAAACCTAAACCATAATCTTTTGGTATTGAAATCAAAAGTCACACCAGGAGCTTTAGAAAACAATACATTAACTAAAACATAGATTATAATACAAAATGTTTTTTTTTTTTCAAGCAGAGCTGTAATCTAGGGCTTATAAAACAAAATCTGACCGAAATAGCAGCAAACAATCTAGATAGCTGCAAACCAGCAACATAACAAGTAAAAGCCAAATAAAAAGACCCTTAATCTAAAACCTGGGTCACTTTAAAGCTACCCAGCCGACAAACAAAACACAGCAGAACAAATACAAGCTATAAAATGCCACGTCAAGTCAAAGCTACCTGGCACTTTAAAGCCTTGCTTTCTTCTCCTTTATTTTGACATGTACACTGCTCTGATTGCCTCATGTAGAAACGCTATAATTAAATGTATTTCTGGTGTACGCCCTTTTCTGTGCTAAATTTCAGATGCATTAGTTCACTGGTACAGTATACTGCCCATTTTATGGTAGTGTTTAAGATTTCATTGCTTGATTTGACAAGACTTTTAATTCAAGGGCAGCTCTTTACATGACTGAACTTTCAAAGTCCCACATTCTCACCAGAACACAGTGGATGAAAAATCTATTTCTATTGATTTTTGTGGATTCAGACTGAAAGGTAGAGGTGACAAAATCCTTTCTCTGGTGGCCTTTAATCTGAGGAACTGTCTTGCCTTTTTAACGAGAGCTGGTCAGACCATTTAAAACCAATTTCTTCTCTCTGCCATTTAATCCTAGCAGAGCAGAGTCGTGTAGGCTTTTATTGTGCATGTTCATTGTTTTTTTGCTTTGTTTATTGCAGTTATGTGTTTTCACTGATTTGGAATTTGTCAATAGTAAATTTCACACAGCGAAGCATGTTGTGTTTGGCTGCAGCTGCTTTAAAATTTGATTTTGAAACCCTCTTTTATGCGGTCGATCAATAATTATTTGTAGTAAACAAAAGGTAAGTGCTTCAGGGTGTGAACAGCTGGCACGGTTTTGTGTAATTTTATGCTAAATTTACACTTTTTGTACATGGCAGAGCTTTAGCCAGATGGTCTTAAAAAGTCATTAAATTGTCTGGTCCTGCTCAACTGTTCCATGCAAGTTGCATCAACAATTGCATCAGTACACATTCTGTGATTTCCAATTGCCTCATCGCAGAGCGTACATCTCTTTTACATTTTCAAAATCTAAGGAAAAGACACGAAATGAAACTGAATGTATTTTCCTTTTTGCTGAATTCTACCATAGGGATGCAGATTAAAAACATAATATGGCATACAACAACTTAATACTTTGAAGCCATCATGCAGACTCATTCAATAAATTAGAATATTACTGAAAAGCCTGTTTAGCTTAGGAACTTTATCACTAAGTGAAACACATTATATAGATTAATTACACACAAACGAATGTTGGAAACCCATATATATGTTAATAATGATAATTTTACACTTAAACGGAAACGTGACATTTAAAATTAGAATATTACATCAGACCATTAAAAAGACATACTTAATACAGAAATGTGGGGTTAATGCAGTTAAACAAGCAAAGTATGTTTAATACTAGATGTTAAGCATATTTTTAAATTAATAAGTATGTGCAATAGCAACCTCAAAGGTTATTATTTTCAAAAGGTCCTTTTAGTATGACATTCTGTATGTCAATAAAACTAAGAAAAGCCTCCTTATTGATTATGTTAGACTTAATATAATTCTTCATTGTGAAATTTCCAAACAGCTTGGGCTATTTTCTTCAGGATCAATCTGAGACAGCAAGTTTCTAAATGTGGATAAGAAGGACGTCTTAGAAACTTGCTTTGTTTGCATGTTAAAGGATGTAGCCTGGTCAAAAACAACTACAGTGTTCCCTTACAGTGACTCCAGACGATTATATCAGTCATTATCTGTAGCACGATATACCACCTATCCTCTTAATTAATATTATTCAACTAATCATCTTAAACTACTCAAAATTTGTATTATTTGCTTAAAAAATACGGTACATGGTTCTGAAGTAAACAAAATAACTGATGACATTTCACTCTTATTCACTGTGGGCACATTGAAATTGTGTCACTGACTTGGAGAGAGTATTTTGATTCTTCTCCTTAGTCATAATAAAGCGTAGTACTAAAAATAAATATATGAACCATTTCCTTCAGCCCCAGTAAAGCATCAACTGTGTTATGGTTTTTACTTCTTAAAATCTGGGAATTCATCCAGGAACTCAGATTAAGACACACTTTTTAGTGGATGCTAAAAAGTGTTTTGTTTTTTCTCCCTATGTTTTATTTGAATAAGACAAACTAAGAGAAACTCTCAACTATTGATTGCAATTCTCCTGAGATAGTGGTTCAAGATAACTCAAAACCAGGTTGACACGACCAGGTTTGTGTAAGGAAGAGCATCAGAAATATAATGACGAATTTCTAGTGATTAGTAAATTACATTAAAGATTCTTTTTCTCTTCAAGTAGAAGAAAAACAATTTAATAATATCATAATTTTCTCCCGTTGTGCTGATTTTGGATTCATTTATCCTAAGCGGTGGGGAATCAGATTTGGTTTCAGTTTTTTTTTTTTTTTTTTGTGGATGGCAGGAATGAAGAAACAGCAGAGATGTGTGTGAGATTAAGACTCTTTCTCAGTTTTAACGCTTGGTTGAGATCCTTCAGAGAACTACTAGGATATAGTGGGAAGATCACAAACGTGGAACTCGCATCACAGTCACATGTGGTTTATTAAAAACAGTGATTTATTGCAGTAGCTTGGTTCAGCAATTCAACCATGATATGGATTAATTACACAGAGACAAATGTTTTCAAGCAGTTCTTTCTGCTAAAGATGCAGAAGTCCTGCTTTTGGGGTGATGAAGCCAAGACAGGTTTATTTGTGCAGCACGTTTCCTCGACAGGGTACTTCAAAATACTTTACATGATGAAAACAAAGGAGGTCAGACAAACATTACTTCGGAGAGACATAATAGAGAAAAGCAGTAGAAAATTGGAATACAGAAAAAAAAAACAACATAGTGAAGAATATCAAGCTCAAGGCAAAACCCCAAGTTTAAATCTAAAGTAATCTAAAGTATAATATTACTAAAATAAAAAAAAGTGTGCTCTTTGAAATAAGGAATATGGTGGCACACCAATTTGTGGTTAGGCTGCTGCTGTTCCAAATCCCTTCCCCTTCGTCGTAATATCACTAAAACTAACACACAGTTAGTTGTGAGAAGATTGAACAACCGGATTTGTTGCACAGGAGGAAACTCACCGCAGCACCATTCACTGAGCTCCGGAGAGTGATCCATTCTTTCACAAATATTTGCATAAGCAGCGTGTCAAGGTGCTGGATTTCATACCCCTGTAGACATGGAGGTGGTGTGTAAACCTGATTTCCATTTAGATGTTCAACTGTGAATATTAACGAACTGATTCTGGCCTGGGTGAATTAAATTTAGAGCTTGAACAATACTGATTATAGCAGTTCTTAAAGTACATTTTCTACCTTGGGTAACGGTGACACTGTACTTTAAGTCCTAACCTTGTCAATACAAGTGAAAAGAAAAGCAAGATCCTGTACCTCAGAGCTCATGAGCTCTTCTGAGATTTTGGACTACAGATCTTGGTCTCAGTTTAGATTTTTTGTGCTGTTGCCACTTACCAAATTTCATACTGCGATGTAAGATATTTATATCTAAACCAGAAGTGTCTGAGGACATAACCCAAACACATCGTAACATAAGTGGGAAGATTATTTTGTCCTTTTTTGATTGTCTATGCTGAAACAGGGAAATATTGCTCCACGTACCAACATGTCCATTTCATTTTCTGAACTGGATTCACACTGATTGGTAAAGGCTCGTCCGGCTGCCGAGGGAGTAGCGATAGTTGCCATGGCTTTGTCTCGACGTGCAGACTTATTGTCTCTGAAAAATTAGCAGTTGCAGTTGTTAAACATCTCTGGCTGGATGTGTTTTAATATAACGGTCGTCTGAAACAACAGCCTCGAAGCCATTAAAAAAACGGTGTGTGTGTGCGGTCCTTGAATTCTGCTCGGCAAAGATACCCGATGTGTTGTTGCAAATTATCCAATTTAATTAAGTAGTGCCAGTAAATTAAAGCAGATCACGAGCAGCCTGCTCGTTTCAAGTTGGACTTTTTGGGAATAAATTTGCGTTGTCCTTTTTGCTAAGTTAACTTCCAGAATATGTATTACAATTCCAAGTGCAAGACATCCCCCATATTTTCTTTTTATAAATTTCCACCCTGCTTAATTTTGCATTATTTTCTACTTGGCTGCATGTTTGGAGTCCACATGGCAAATAAAAAGTCTAGCACGGTCACACATGGAGACGATTCCGGCTCTTATTGAAAGCAGTGAATAAGAATGAAGGATGACTCCCGCATTTGGAGGAAGATCTGGTTGATCTGAATAATATCATGGTTGATTCCTGTTTGTGCATATTGCAAGCTAACATGTAGGAGGACAATGGCTTCAGCATTTACATGTTGGCCGTTTTCCACTGAACTGCGTAAGCTTGCTGCATATTTATGAATATACACAGAAGAAGAGGGTTGAGTGTGAGTTGATCTAAAGTCTCCTCTCCTTGCTTCCGTGTATTTCTGTTTCCACCCAGAGGAGACTGATTTGTGAAAGCCCAGATAATAGCTCGGGATAAATAGGTGTGCTTTTATCAGTTTAGCAGCTCTGGGAAGCAATGAAACTTGTTCGCCGAAACATTGTTTGCTGCTAAATCTTCTGTGAATGCAATCATAAAAAGGATGAGGACATTAGTGGGGAATTGAGTCTTTGCTCTCTCTAACAATGACCGGTCACTTATTTAGAAACAGAAGATGAAACTGTCTTAATTTAGGAGGTGATAAGAGGACACACACACACACACACACACACACACACACACACACACACACACACACACACACACACACACAGAAAGTATGATTCATGATAAGACTAATTAATTTCTTAGTGGTGTTTTTATCCTTTTTTCTGTTGCTACTATATAAATAGAACAAATTTATGACTTAATACTGAATGAAAGTTCAGTACAAGTTCATTTATAATTTTTTTTTTCTTTTTAAATTGTATACACACTAAAAAAATATTTTAAGAGGCATTCAGCCTTTTCTCCTTTGCAATACCGGGACATATTTCTAATCTTGTTTGCTTTTAAAAACCTTGTACATATATTATATTAATATAAATGTACAAAAAGTCCCTTACTGTAGATGAAATGCTCTTTTTTCTTATCAGTCATAAATTTTATTTAAAAAAACAACCAGAAATTCCCAAATAGCGTATGATCTTTAATTAAAGAATGTTATCTTATAAATGTATTTAAAAGACCTAAAAATATCTAAATTGGTGTGCAGTAATCAGTGGAGACAAGTATTTAATGGTCACTTATATCAAAATGCTACCAGGTAGCTGTGGCTACAGTGTAGTAGCGTGTGAATGTGTGCGTAAATGGTTGAACGACTGAATGTTGCGTAACAAGCTTTGGAGTCCTCTGGGCTAGATAAAGCGCTGTACAAGTAGAGGACATGTGCCATTTTAACATTTAAGGGGAAGAGTGGGGAACGGGAATGTGTGCCAAAAGTATATAAGTTGATACAATGAAAGGCAATTACCAACAACAAAAAAGTACTTTAAAAACCTTATCATGAAGCTTTCCTTCTCATGTCACCTTATATATGTTCAAAATAAACCTAATGTAGTTTTGATGTTGCACATAAGCATTTAATAACATTTTAGTCTTACTACAGGGGTCGGTAGCTTTTAAAAACCAAACAGAATTACCAAAAACCAGAGATTAAGGAACTATAATACATTTGTTAGCAATAACAACCCAACTTTATTGAGCCTAAATGTTTTTTTTTTGTTTTTTACTTTAGATTTAATTCATTGCTATTCTAAGAGTGTATTCTTGTCAGTCTCGTGTTGTTTAATTATTTTTTGCTAAATTGGATAAAATCTGTTCTTGCAAGTTCCATCCTTTACACCTCTAAATTTGGGAAGTGAATCAGATTTTTTCGAGGTGTCAGGGTTCCAGATGGGTGTGTCTGCATGGGATTAGCGAAGACCCTGTCGTTTTTAGGAACTCCCACATGCTGTCAGGAAGGAGACGATATTGATGCTCTTAAGCGTTCATATTCTTTAATATTTGAGTTAATAAATGATGGGTCTGAATCCGTTGGATAAATGAATTTACTGGACTTTTTTCTTTAACCGTCTTTAAATGGATTGTAGCTGAGAAGTAATATTGAAGCTATATTTCTCCTTTCATTTTATTAAGTGTGCATAATCTTAAAATGTGTATTAATACCTTACTATATCATTTAGGGTAAGCAATTAATCAACTTTTTTTTAAAGAAAAAAGGTTTTATTTTGTTTTATTCAATTTCTAATGGTATTACCTATGAAACATTGTTATATTGTTCCATTTTTATTTAATTATGTAACTATGAAAGCAGGAAACATTTATTTATTTTATGCATCACATCAATAATATTTAGTCTCCAAAAAAGCCCAAACTACTTGACTTTAAGCATGAAGACTCTTTATCTGGTCAACAAATCAGTGAATAACACACAGTAAAATGCTATTCATTTCCTGGTATTTACAACAAGTGCACTAATAAGGTCAAATAACGGGGCAAGGTTAAATGATAAGGTCGTTCTTCTGACATGAAAAAAACAAATTTGTGCTTTACAGTTTCTCATTCTGATGTGAGCTGAAGCCTGCAGCACCAGACTGTTTCCAAAGGGCCAGTCCGACATCCAAAAGGATCTGATCACAAATGACAGGCAACATTTCAAGTTTAACCCACTTGCAGTCTTCATGTTCTCTACTGCGCTTCGGGCAAAAAAAAAAAAAAAAAATCCCATCAAGTGAAAAAAAAAAGCAAAAAACAAGCAGGTAGCAGAAGGATGAACATATTAAAATAATGAAGAATTTCAGATTACGTGCACAAACAAGAAATTTAAATTTAGTTTCAGTTTTACCTTGGAGGACTTACAATAAAGGATAAGAGGAAGATTAAGGTGATGTTTGTGTGTGTACAAGCATTTTATTTTTCTGTAAAGAAAATAAAAAAAGGGGGGTTGTTGTGGTAGTGCATATGCATATGCTGACTAACTTTCCCCACAGGCTGTTAATGTTGTACTGTAAAAAGGTGTCTGGCTACATGATAATATGGTGTTTTTTTTTTTTTTTTCCTTTGCTTTCATCTTAGATACACAGCGGTGGCAATGCCGATGCTGTACAACACGCGCTACAGCTCCAGGAGACGAGTCACCGTAATGATCTCTGTTGTCTGGGTTCTCTCCTTTGCTATATCATGTCCCCTGCTGTTCGGCCTCAATAACACAGGTAAGAGGGAGTTGAATACAAATCTTCTCTACGGTCACTGTCGTGTATTCTGTGTATTTGTCTGACTTTTACGCAGGCAGCAATAGTTCCACGTGGCTTCAGGTGCCATTTATAGAAACACTAATGTCATTTTTTAATAAGCTTTTACTTGAAAGATTCACCTTATGTCGTCTGAGCCTCGGTCCTTCAGGTTGGTTAATATTTAGTTGCAGTCAGTCAAACCTTTGTTTCACCAGGCTAAACGTTAAGTTATTTACAATAAGTCTGAAAATGCCGAATATTTAGCACTTTTAGGCTCGCATGCATTAACTAACTATAGATACTTCTGTAACTCCCATCTCCCAAGAAAAGAACAGAGAAAAGCCAATATAGGGCTCGTGTGTGTGTGTGTGTATGCTACTGTATTCAGTCAATAGAAACAATCAGGTCTAAGTCGTGGGTTCAATTGTATAACATATGGATTGGATTTTTTTTTTTAACAGAATCTGATTCATTTGAAGCATATTTAGAACTCATGACCTTTACGGACATATTTGAAGATTCCAGGATCAAATTTAAACAAAAGATTAGATTATTTCCTGGTTTTCATAATTTTTTTGGCCTTTTAACACCACCAGTTGGTCCAGCATGTTTAATTCTGTTCACGCATGCTGGACTCTTGGAACCTCTTTGCTGGCAAAACCCCGGACGACAGTGAAATTGGCAATTCAGCAGTGGCAGCAAGCTCGACGCAATACAAACCTAAAACCTACGTCCAGTTTTATGAGGAAAAAATTAGGGGAACAACCTGTCTATGTGCTTGGTCTGTCCATTGCTTTGAGCAAGCTGCAACAATTATAAGCTGCAGCATCTTTGCAGCGAGTGAGACAAGTGTTTAAAAAGTAATTTGATTTTCAAAACCAAAACACAACCCCCAGTTTAAGCAAATATGTCTTCCTCTCTTCAGGACATGCAGCCTGAAGTTTGTCATTCACCTTGAGCTTGTCTCCACAGCAACCCGCGACGCATCTCTCTGTGTCATTGCCAACCCTGCCTTCGTGGTGTACTCCTCCATCGTGTCCTTCTACGTACCCTTCATCATTACTCTGCTGGTTTATGTGCAAATTTACGTGGTCCTGAGGAAGCGCAGGAAACGTGTGAACACAAAGCCAAAGCGGCGTGTGTGTCAGCCTGCTGACACCGATGTAGCAACTTCACTGAGGGTGAGCGGCTTCAAAATTATGGCTCCTGTTTGCAGCTCGGCAGCTTTATTGATTCAATATGAATGAGTTACGCCTTTGTTACGCGAGAGATCTTTATTTTTATGTGATATTTTACCGCTTTGAAACAACAGTTTCTCCACACATTATTTAATGTAAACATGCGGGTACAGACAATATCCTGTACTTGAAGTTTACATGCCTCTGCAAATCAATAATCTTTTCAGCTCAATTACATCTGACAGTTTTAAAACAGGCTGTGTCTGCAATTGGCATTTAGCTAAATTGCAACAATTCACAAAAATAAAAACATGACGTGGGACCAGATTATTATTATTATTATTATTTACATCAAACTTAAATTTTCAGCAAAAGTTGTGGTATATGTTATGCATATGAGGATGCAATGTTAAATGTGCTTTAGCATGGTTAGTTATTAAAATGGATTAAATGTAATGTACCTTGTCATTTAGTGGCTATTGATTTTCTCAACATAAAGAAACTTGCAGAAACTCTTGTTTCGAAACAAACCTTTAGTCTGATTCTCATTATGCGCTGCCAATCAAATATAGATAATATATATGAATATAAGATGTAATAAAATAAATGTATTACTTTTCTGTGAAGTTACATTTTTTCAAATCTATTGAAAGATCCTATTGTTGCGAAACAACACCCTCTCTTTCCCACTCACCCCACAAAAAAAACTAAAAAACTGTCATCATATCTGACCTCACATCCACTATTATTTGCCTGTCTGTTCTTAGACAGCCCTTTAGTCGGGGTTTTGACATCGTACCCTCTCCTGGCCTCACACAGCTGTTTCTGTTGCAGGATAAGTGCACTCATCCAGAAGATGTAAGGTTGTGCACCATGATTGTGAAGTCCAATGGAAGCCTACCTGCCAACAAGAAAAAAGTGGTATCTTCTCTTTTTCTGTCACTTTTCTTTAAAATTGCTTGAGTCTCATTTCTGTTCAAGATTCTTCTTTTTGAAAAATCTCTAGACTTGCAACTAATGCTGTTGTGAGAGTCAATATGTTTCTAATTAGTCAGCATTTTTTTTTTTAATCCAACTCTTCTTTCTAAAGGCCTTCCTGTTGTATGAAACATGTTTACATTTTTAATTTGCGTACCTGAAGACAACATTGTGCTAACAGCTTCCAGTGCATTGCAAACATCACCCATCATTATCTGTGGTCAAAATTGTTATTTATATGACACTTGTAGACCCAGTAGATACTGATAAAGTATATTGACTATTATACAACACTTTTTAAAATAACCTAAAAACCCAATTCTTTAGAGCTGCCTTTGATTCATAACATTATTTGTCTAAATTTAATGCTTGTTGCTTTTTTGCTGTTGTCAACATATTTAATTATTATATTTTGCTTTTATTGTGTGAAGCACTTTAAGTACCTCTCTCTGCTAAAACGTGATATGCATGTAAACTTGACTTGACTTGATATTTAAATCATCTCAAGCAGCATATTTTTCTTAACAAGATATGAAGAAATAAATCCCAGAAATCCAAACTTTTCCCTTAGTTATTCCTTTTGACTAGCTATCTACTGTGGCCCCGGGCCAAGCACCTCAAGAAGCTCCATGAAATATTGCTCAAGGCTAATTTAATAATGTGACAAAGAAGGCTGGATTCTTGGACCTGAAATATGAAAAAAAATGACACCACACCTTTGCACAAAGCAGTAGATATTTTTTATATCTTATTTTTAATGTTACCCTTTTTTCTAATGATAAATGACATCCTGCTTTGTCTTGTCTTGAACTTCAGATTTTCATCAAAGAAGCTGCCACCGACGGGGATGACTTGGAGCTGGATGAGCTGAACAACAGCGGCAGCAGCCAGAGGCAAAGACATCAGACACACAGTGCCCTTGGAGACACTCCGGCCACTAGCCACCAGCAGCTAATGCCCAACAAGGCCAACACTAGCCCCACCTCCACGCCACCCACACCCCCCGAGGACGGCCACAAAGCAGAAAAGAACGGCGAGCCCAAGGAGGCCCTGGCTGACCCGGCACCAGTTGTAGCCAAAGCCTTCCAGACACAGGCGCTACCTAATGGCAAGACTCAATCCTCTGTCAAAAACATGAGCAAGAGGAAGATCTCCCAACAGAAAGAGAAGAAAGCCACTCAGATGTTAGCCATTGTCCTCGGTACGCTTCATCGACTTCATGTTTTTTGGGTCTTTTTTTTTGTTTGTTTGTTTTGGGCTAACATTCTCAGTTTTTGTGTAGGGCTGTCAGAGTTTTTAAAGTTACTGAATCTAATGTTAAGCAGCCTTGCTGTCATGATCAGATGTTAATTAGATTAGATCCAACAAGCGTGTCATACTGTATATGTGAGAAATCAGTTTGTACAGCCCTGCAGTTACGTAGATATTTCAAAACAAATCACTCTTCACCATTTTCTACTGGTGTTAATTAAGCGTAATTAGCATGGTTGAGCTTACCAACAATCGCCTCTGTGTACGGAGAGACTATTTAACTTTAACTGAGATTTCTGAAACACTGCCAGCATTTCTCACCACCAGAGAGTTTGGCTCAAAGGGATCAAACACATCTTGCAGTCTTGCATGCAGCTCCACAGGTGCCTTTACCACCCAACTGTGTCAGTCTGAATGACAAGTCTTGTCAGAAATTCCCCATCCTATTTCATTTTTAATACCTCATGATACTAAATATAGCTTATTTTTATTCTTCCCATAATAATCTCTTCCACACTAAAGAGTGGTGGATTATTTGATTGGAAGACATTACGTTTTTATGTTGCTAATCAACTTCTTGCTGCTCAAGTTCTTTCAGGCATAAAACTGTGAAGTTACAGAAATATATCTGTGTCTGTTGCCTGTGCAGTAGCTGAAGTGACCCAATTCTGATTTTTTTTTTTTTTTTTTGTCAAATCAGATTTTTTTTTTTTTTTTGTCGTGACCGTTCACACTGCCAAACATATGCGACCTGTATTGTATGTGTTCTCGAGCAAACGACCTGAAAGTGACCGGCCTGCGCACTAGAGGGCGCAATAGCGTCAGCGTTCTCAGTGTTCTGCCAACCGTCATAAAAAGAAGAAGTGCTCAGTGTTTGCTGAAGTAAACATGGAGGAGGCTAACGGTGGAGCTTAGTTTACACATCTGAAGTTGTTGTCCGACCGGAGCAGCATATTAACAACTTAATCCTCATTATAGTTGAAAAAAAAAAAACGTAGTTGTTTTTCTCCCGCTTGCCCATATTATGACGCAGAATAGTGACATTTGTCGAGTATCAGTGACGTTCAGGTCGGATGAATGCGACCTGGACGTTAGGTCGCATTTGAATTGGATATGTATTGGATATGGGTCGCACTCGAAAATAGTCCAACCTGTGCTGTTCGGACTGTCATGAAAAGATCAGATACAGGTCGCATTACGTCAAAAAGAAAAATTGGAATTGGGTCACTTTAGGCTGCAGTGTGAACGCATGAGCAGAAGTACAAACTTTCAGTAGCCAATATCTACAGACCTTGAAAACTCAGGTGTCCTTCAGGCTGGAGAGAAATTGGACAAATCATAGCTGTTTGTCTGGCAATCCACTGGTCAGGTTTATTAGCTTTGGTAGATGCGCTGCCTCTTGTCTGAAAATTGGTGCAGGACGGGTTATATTGTGGAGCATATCTTGACATTCCTGTAACATGTTTGCAAACAATGTACATAAAGACATGGATGTCCCAGTTTGGATTGCACTTAACTGGCCTTCACAGAGTCCTGACCACAACCTGATTGACCAACTTTGGTATGAAGTAGAGCAAAGATCTTGGCTAAAAGTTTTAAAATGTCTTTAAACATCCTTTAAACTTTCTGGAAAGACTTCCTAGAAGAAATGTATTAATTAAACTAGATTTAGTACAAATTTGTTTGTTTAATTGAAATATTATATTTACTTGAATAAAAAAAAGCTTTATCAGTTATCTTAATGTATATATTCAATATGACTTCGACTAGGAGGTATCTTGTTAAACTTCATATTAAAGGTTGTGTAGTGATCTCTAAGCATAACATTGTTTTAATGAGTCGTTGTGATTTCAGTATTAACCAAAAATAATGGTGACTAAATGTTTTTTTTAGACTCAAGCAGTTCTAATCAAACCTCTTAGGGAACACAGCTTGAAACTGATAGCTAAATTGTTATTTAGGTTCTAATTAGCAACAGGACATTCTGTCACTGAGCTGTTCTACATTTTTGTCTAAGTCTCCAACATGTAGTTGGCTGCCTGTGTGCGCATGTTGTAGAATAATACAAAAAGAAAGAAAAAAAAAATCAAACTGATGCAAGAAACGGTAATGATTTCTGTGCTCTGAGAGCAACTTTTGTTTGCAAACCTATATTCAGGTCTAATATACAGCAAGGCCTTGACTTTGTTTTCTCTCTCTCACATACATTGTTTCTCTCTTATTATCTCCTCAGGTGTATTCATCATATGTTGGCTGCCGTTTTTCATCACCCATATCTTGAACACCCACTGCACCAAATGCAAAGTTCCCGCTGAGATGTACAACGCTTTCACTTGGCTGGGCTACGTGAACAGTGCTGTAAATCCCATCATATACACCACCTTTAATATCGAGTTCAGGAAGGCGTTCATTAAAATCCTGCACTGCTAAGCTGCCGCATCCCTTACAGATCAGACTGAGGGAAAGGGCACAAAATAAAGGGTCTGGCAAATACCTCATCCTGTGAAAGGAAAATGCACCACATGGGGGGGGGAACTGAAAAGTTACTAAAAAACTGGCAGTGTCTTTTTGGAAGGCGCGTTGATTATGTGTGTGTGAGTTGTTTGTGGAGTCCTGTTCTCCAGATAACTGAATGTAAAACAAGAAAAGTCTGTAACAATGATCTGTTTATGGAGAAAAAAAAAAAAAACTAACACTATTCTCTAAAATCATTGTGTGTGTTATGTAAGGAGCCATCTGTGTATACCACACACATGCAAGTAGCATACTGCTATTTATTGTGTGCGTACTCCATGTTTCCACGACGGAAAAGCTACGACGTCAGTGTTCATCGCAGTGTTGATATCGATGCATCTGGTCTTACTCTTGGAATCTCTTACGGGTTGGGAATGTGTCGGGAAAAGGGAGGATTTACTTACTGTACAATGTGACGATGCCAATATTTGCAATTTTGCATTTTATAAATAACCTGATATTGTATCTTAATGAATCAGAATATCATTGAGAAATTAATTTCTTTCATTAATTCAGTTCTAAAAGTGAAACTTATAAATTCATTACATGCAGAGTGATATGTTGTTTGTATTTATTTCTGATCATTTTAATTATTATGGTTTGCAACTGATAAAAACCTGAAATTCACTTTCTAAGAATTGTGGTTTACTAAAAAAGTAACGTCCACAATACTTTGTCTGAGCTACTACGCGGTTACTCTGTCAGGTTAAACTCAATAACATAGAGGGATGCCATATTCATTTTTAGTAAAACACCAAGTGCTACACACTTTCTCCTTCTACACAACTTTCCCTCCGTTTGCTAGGATAGAATACTACATGGTCAATCTTAAATATTTTGTCGAACAAAATGTTAGGTTTTCATTAGCTGTAAGCCATAATCATCTTAATTAGCAGAAATAAATGTTGGGGTTGTATTACTCTTTTCTGTAATGACTATAATTGAGTCTCACTTTTTGAATTTATATTTTGACAGAATTAATCTTTTGATAATATTTTATTTATTGAGATGCATGTATTATTATTATTATTGTTATTACCATAAATATTATTTTCATTTTCTGTATTGTACATAGTTTTCATAACACATTACCTGTGAATATATGCCTGCAATGGAAAAGTGATGCATGCTACACTGCTCCTCTACTTGACTTTTCATGAGATGTATGTTACAAGACATAGCAAAAGATCTCCAATAAATGAAAATAAAATGCATAGTTAAGTGCCACGCAAATGTCGCTGTTTGCTGTATGTGTCAATACAAGCTAAATTATAACTTAAAACTGTCAATGTTTGGTAGACTTTGTTTGATTAATGTAGCTGGCTTTGCATTGCTGCAGCTGAGTTATTTTATGGCAAACTAATGACCTGTATGTGGAGTTTGCAGCTCCCAGGTTTAATTATTTGGATGTGTGTTGATAGGTACTTTTTCTCGAACCTATATAAAAAGGCCACAGACAACATATATGAATTTCATAGACAAAGCTTTTGCAAAAGGAGAACTCTCCATCAACAACCTCATCAGCCGTTCACAGAGAATTCTGATCTGCTTCCGCGTGAGCCCCTGTTTTATTGTCAAGCAGAACAGCCAGAAAAAAAACAACAGAGGTCGTAAAACATTTAACCTAAACAAACCAGCAACTCAGTTCCAGGTGTGATATCTGATCTACGGTCTGAGCCCAGTTCAGCTCTAGGTCAAACTAACACAAGAAGAATTTAAGGTCTGGGAAACACAGAGTTAACTGTCTCACATGAAGATAAACAGACAGTTGTAACCTCCAGGTCAGTTTATACACACATAAGGAAGAGAACACTTTAAACTAAAAATCACAATAATACTGATTAACATTAGACTGAATATGAACTAAAGTAATAACAAAATGATAATACCAAAAAATATCTAACATGTGTAAACTCCAAAGTGGCCCCCCAGGGGCTCTGCAAGTGCGAAGAATGAGGTTAGGTCGATGCAACAGAAACAAAAGCTGCTGTAATAAATCACTGAATACTGTTTGGAGTGACACATTTTCAATATATTCAGTACAGCCTTAAAGACACTATCAGTAAGAGCCAATGTGTATTTAAGCATCTCTGTGCTAAGAGAGGTGGCAGCATTTAAGATGATGTGATTTTACAATATTTTGCACAGTATGAAAATGAGTTTTCCATTAAAAATTGTAAATGCCAATTTAATTTTCCTTTCTGATCAAGACCCAACTTCAAGAATTGATATAGAAACTATAGCTTCTCATAAAAATCCCGGAATACTTTCCCAAATATTATCTAGAATAACAAACGTATCAATGATCCTAGGTTAAATTATATTTTTAAGGAAAAACGGTATCTGCAATTTGAAACAATAATAGGAGTACATACTAGAAAACTTCTGAAGAAATTTAAACAGGGCCTGCCAAAGTTGGAACCCAACGTTCTTATGCTAAAAATTAGCAATATAAAAATGCATATAAATATTCTATTAAAAATGCTAAAAATATTTCAGTCTTTATGTTATAGAACATATAAAGCTTAGTGCAGTGGTTTTAGTCTGTCATGCAGGGCCTGGTGCAAGGTGGTATGCTTTGACTCAGAAGCAGAAAATGACAGCCGTGAAAAATTAACAAATGTAAAGACACTATGTGGATTTAATGTGTTTCATTTAGTGAACTGAGATAATGAAACAATAAAATTTTTCAATAATATTCTAGTGTGTTGAATATAAATCTGTAGTATTAGTTAGGTTAAGCGATTACTCTTTAAATCTTATTGAAGGTGTAATAGAAGTTCGATCATTTTCTGCTCATTTTTCTTCTGTCCATCAACAGCCTGGTTGTTGACGCCTCTGTTGTTGCTGCTGCCGCAGTGCTGGCCGTGATTCTGATTGAATTTCTGATCGTATTAGGGAAACGTTAGAACGTTGGCAATTCCGTTCCAGGCGTCAGTTCCCCTTAAGCCCTCAGGGCTCCAGTTAAAGGATTACTAAAGCTCCTTTCTTTGTGTTTTTAGCTATGGCACTCACACCTCCTCTTTCTGGACCCAACGTGCCCCAAATATAGTTTTAAATGCTGCATGCTGAAATGACACATGACCTGACTCTGATACTTCTCTCTACAACATTTATGGTGTTGCACTCTGCATCGCCGGGTCTTCTGAGCAGAATATCAAAGACGGAGCGAAAAAACAAGGATGGAAGAGTTGTCAGTCTGCTGTGAACGAAGTAAGAGGCTGCAGCTTGAAACATGGGGTCCATATGAAAGCCTTTGTTATGCCAATCATCCGTTTTCCTTCTGCCTTTAGTCTCCAGTCAGTTTTTTCCCCCTCATCCCCACAGTACATTTCATACTGTGAGACACGTCAAGAAAAACTGCTGGGACTCTGAGTAGGATAAAGGCTTTTGTTAACTCTGTACATTTAGTTAAATAGTTAAGTTATTTTATGCACTTTAAAAAAGGCTTACAGCTTTCAAAAAATGTTCAGCACAGACTTATATGATGTGTTATAAAGTTCACGGACTGCTCACGTCATAGGTTTTGCAAAAGGTCTTGCTAATATTTTACATGATAAGAAAAGAGAAAATAATAGAAAAAAAAGTGAAGTGTGTGTTTTGAGTCTTTACATCTTGATCTGGCAAAATGTAGTATCTCTTTGCCGTCATGTTTACTTATGTAATTGCAATCAATTGTGTTTATATCTGATCTGAATTTTTCTTTATTTTTGTTCTGATCCAATAAGGAATAAATGCAATATGAGATTCAGAGAAATTAATTCATATTAAAATACTCAGAAACAAACAAACAAACAATAAACTAAAGCAGCAAATCGTTATGATGTCTGAGAAACTAATTTAGGGAGCAGACAGATTTTAAGAAAGTAAAAGATGACAACAAGAGTAATTTTGAAAGGAAAATGCATCAGGGAACAGAAATATACTGACCACAGAGAGTGAGATTGTGAAAGAAGCCAAGAGCTCAAAAAATGCAAGACAAGTCATTTCTTGTGTAAAAAAAAAAAAAGGTAACAACTCAACTCAGCAATTTCATGACATCTGTATGGCACAAATGCATTCTCCTTTTGCTTGATATTTTTGCAGTACTTTGTAATAACTTTCCCTCTCATTAACTGTTTCCATTCACAAGATTTTTATTTTTTTAATTATCCCAGCCAATGTCAAAAGCGTTTGCACTGGTCCATCCTCATTACATAACCCAGTATCTGTTTAGGCAAAAGGTCTGAAGCTGCACAGGAGGATAGAAAATGTGACACTTCAGAATAATGCTTTTAATACTCCTTTCGAAAAGGTCAGGCTCTAACAGAAAACGACCAGAGGCTCAGAGAAGCACTTCTGGTCGGTAATGTAGAGATGAGTGCAGCCTTACTGCTTGCAATGGAGCTGTGTTTATTTGTTTTAAATCTTTGTTCTTGAATTTCTCTACAGCAGAGTTGCTTTATTTGTTCTTTACTCTGGAGACAGAGAGCTTCAAAAGTGTTTACAGTCTGATGAAAATAGTATTTGCACCCTTTCAGTTGCCTTTTGCCCTTTTTTCTTCACAACTAGATATTTTTAGTCGTACCAATTCAAATAGTAGGCACAGATACACTCAGTAAACACAAATATCAGTTTTCAAACGGTGATTTAATTCAGTGAGAGACAAAATGAAATGACTGTAGTCAAGTGTTTAACTAATAACTAGGCAGGAATATTTTAATGTGTAAAAATTTGTCCCTCTCCTCTTCATTGAATTGTTTTAGTTTAACTGCGTTGCATAATATAACAAGCATAACTTGCATGGTATGCCATAAGGTCACCTTCAATAGTTTTAATGGTTCTATCAATGACAGGAAGTCATCAGAGCCCTAAAGGAGCCTAACAGCATCATGATAACACTGGCTTGTCATGTAATCAGTTTAATGTTTTTTTTTTTATTAAATGTTGTGTGATTTAATCCCAGATATTGTAGAAGACACACTGCTCCTATTAAAGAGTTTTATTTTTGATCTAATGTGCCCTCAAAACTTTTCCCAAAACGTCCAGATGTTGCTTGTGACGCGCATCTTTATTCATTATGCAACAATGTACATAAGCTAAAACATGCAGAAAAGTGAGAAGCTTTGCTTCATTCTTAGTTAAAGGCTGAACAAAATTCTAAATATTAATGAAATAACAATCTAATAATTGCTGATTTTATTCACAGCAAGAGTTTCTCATTGTTCGTCTGATACATTTATAATAAACAGCAACTCTTTCTAAATGACATTTTCCATATTGTTGAGAAAAGTTAAAAATAAATTCTATTAAGGATGAATCAGCTTCACCCGTCATTCGTAACGTCTGTGAAGAATCAAAACTGCTAAAAGCAAGTTAAAAGTGTCACACATCTCAGTAATGCTTTCAGACTTTCTCAAAAAAGTGTCTGAGGAAGGAAACACTGTAAGACAAGAAATAAAGTGCAGCAAACCTGATTGATTTAACGCATTTCGCGCCTTGCAAATTCTCTCACTCCAGAGCTGAACTTGACAACAAGAGGCTCACAGAAAACCACAAAGATGTTAAACTTCTTTTCCAGTTCTCGATTCTTTCCTGCTAAAGAGCAGAAGCACAGAAAGAGGCCCACGACATTGGTCATTATTTATTCCCCAAGGCAGAGTATCAATCCAAATCTTAGCACAATCCATCAGGTCAGAAGCCTGAGGATGGTGTTTGAGCAGCGGGGTGGGCTCCTAATTGGGCTCAGAGTGAAAGTGGGAGACTGAAGAAGGGCTCTCAAGTAGCAGAGCAGAGTTCTAATCACATTCTTGGAGAAATTGGCCATGTCTTCTCTCTGCATTCACTTTTCACTTCTATTTAATGTGCTCCATTGTTTTTTCTTCCTGCTTTTGCACTGTACCCTTCCCAGTTCCCAGGGGAGACATTACAGCATCGCACCAGAAACGGACAGGATTTTGTAAAAAAACAAAAAAACAAAAACAACAACAAAAAAAAAGTTACATCTGGCAGCTTTTAGTTAGTTATGCATCTTGATATCAGAGAAAGTTTGTTGATACAGAACATAGACTGTAGCTGTCTCTAGTTACTAAATCAAACATTTCTCTGTTTCCTAAATGAAATGTTTTGGCCCCTGCCAAAACATTTGCTGCATTCCTTACTAATGTGCAAAAGATGGAGGAGGTGAGAAAACAG